CTCACTTGAGACTCAAATTAATTCAAGATAGGCATGGTGGCTCAGGCCTCTGTTCTCAGGAGACCTCAGCATGATAGTGGTCCAAAAAGTTCTATACCAACCTGGTCTACAAATAAGACTGTCTCAAATATAAACAATAAAATGATAATCCTGGACCGGCAAGATGGCTTATCAGTTAAAGGCACTTGCCACCATCCCTTTTTACTGGCTTCGACATGAATACCATGGCAGGCATGCTCCCCATATTGCAATACATACATGCATATACACATGAAGAAATAAATGTAATTTAAAGAATAATCCATTGATGTATTGCAAAACTATATCCCATGAAGTTTGAAGAAATTAAAATGTGGTCAACACAGTGCACACCTATAATTCCAGCACTCAGAATGTGAACACACAAGGGTCCCAAGGTTATTCTCTGAGACTCAAAGAGATTAGACATAAAACTAGTCCTGTGTTGTGGTTAGAACAATAGAAGTCAGTTTATTCTATACTATGTAACATAACTTAGATTGGATCATATAATCTTTGATTTTACTTCCTATGGTTTTCATCACCTATATTTTAAACAATATGTGGAAATTTTCATTAAAAAGCAATTTGGGTTTCACGATTTATGATGAAACCTTGTACTATTCTGTTCTGTCATTCCCACTAATCATCTTTTGTAGAGTACCCACACCATTATACTACCCACATATAAGTCACCTCAGAGCTGCTCTGTATTGTTATTTTTTTTAATTGTTTTATGTATGTGAGTATACTATAGCTATCCTCAGATACACCAGAAGAGGGCATCAGATCCCATTACAGATGGTTGTGAGCCACCATGTGGTTGCTGGGAATTGAACTCAGGACCTCTGGAAGAGCAGTCAGTACTCTTAACATCTGAGCATCTCTCCAGCCCTATATCGTTATTTTTTATTGCTCTGCATTATTTCCTAGTATTGACCCTACAGCTCAAGAGTAGTGATAATGGGAGCTGCCAGAGATGTTCAATTGGTAGAGATGAAGCTTGCCCAGCATGCATGAAGCCCTGGCTTCCATCCACAGCACTACATAAGCCAGGTATGATAGCACATACTTGTAATCCCAGCACTTCGGAGATGAAGACGATCAGAAATTCAAGATCATCTTCAACTGCATGATGGCAGTTGCCTTTAACTGATAATCCTGCTCCAGGATTATCATCATTTTATTATAGTTATTTGAGAACCGACTCATACTATGTAGACCAGACTGATGTAGAACTTTTACTACCATCATGCCCATCTCCTTAGAACTGTGATTATAGGCTTGAGTCACCATGCCTGGCTTGAATTATTTTGAGGTTCAAGTGAAATGTTTATATAGACGTTAGGGGTTTCTACCTTTGATATATCTATACACCCTAGTCCAGAACTTTTAAATTTTTCATTATTTAAGGTGGGTGTAAACTCGTACAGGTCAGAGGACAATTCTCTTCAATCACATGTGCTCTGTTGCTTGGGCAGGCATGCTAGGTCCTGAACCAGAATTCTAAGTGATATCAGACAGTGTCACCCTAGAAACCTCTATCTTTACAATCCATCTTCATCTTATGAACAGTAAATATTGAGTAATCACACTACAAATGGAGTGAAAAATGTAGTGGTCAACTAATCATCTTAACCCACCTTTAGTGTTGTGGGAAAGAGCTGAAGTCTAAAGTATCCTTTCACTTTTTATTTCATATGAACAATGGCACTAAGGCTCCTGAGTGGTCTGCTTACCCTCAGTATTGTTACCAGCCACTCTCCACTCTCAGATACGTTTGATTATGCTTGACAACTTCATCATTATAAATCCTCCCAAGGGGAGGGGAGGTTAGAGAGATAGATGGCTTAGCCATTATGAGTGATTGCTTCTCTGTCAAAAGGACTGGAGTCCGGTTCCCAGCACCCACACCAGACAACTCTGAAATACCTATAACTCCAGCTCCAAGGGTTGTGTTTGGGGTTTGCTTGGTTTTTGTTTTGTTTTTCTTTCTTTCTTTCTTTCTTTCTTTCTTTCTTTCTTTCTTTCTTTCTTTCTTTCTCTTTCTTTCTTTTCTTTCTTTCTTTTCTTTCTTTCTTTTCTCTTTCTTTTTCTTTCTTTCTTTCTTTCTCTTTTTTCTCTCTCTTTCTTTCTTTCTTTCTTTCTTTCTTTCTTTCTTTCTTTCTTTCTTTCTTCCTTTTTCTTTCTTTCTTCCCGAGACAGGCTTTCTCTGTGTATCTCTGGCTATCCTGGAACTCACTCTGTAGACCAGGCTGGCCTCAAACTCAGAAATCCACCTGCCTCTGCCTCCCAAGTGCTGGGATTAAAGGCGTGCGCCACCACCGCCCGGCAGGTTTGCTTGTTTTTTAAGATTAGTTTTATTTTCGTGTGCCTGTGTGTGTGAGTACCCACAGAGGTCAGAAGATGCTGGACTCACTGTCTGGAGCTGGAGATAGCAGGAGGTTGTGAACTGCCTGAGATAGGTGCTGGAACCCAAACTCTTCGTAGAACATTTACTCCTTTTTTACTGGCATTTTCCAGTTAATTGAACTCAAAACTAAAGTGATTTTTCTTAATCTTGTGTGCCTTTGAACATGGAGCCTCTCTCCACAGAGCCACTCAATTCATACTTAAATACTACCTAACTTCAAGAAGCCAACTTCTGCCGGGCGATGGTGGCGCATGCCTTTAATCCCAGCACTTGGGAGGCAGAGGCAGGTGGATTTCTAAGTTCGAGGCCAGCCTCGTTCCAGGATAGCCAGAGATACACAGAGAAAGCCTGTCTCGAAGGGGGGGAAAAAAAAAAAAAAAAGAAGCCAACTTCTTCAGTGGTTTCTTTCAGCCCTACATGAGGTGAACTATAATTAATGACTTAGTGTAAATTAAAATATCCTGTAGTTCCTCTTCTCTGCCATTTATTACAGTGGCAATTACATGAGCAATTGCCCAATTTATTTCTTAATATTCTGCTACTGGTCAGGAATGTAATCCTTGAGTCGGGTTGTCTATTTCTTTCGTTTACTAAGACCTCAACAAATAATTTGTTCTGTGATTAAATTTAGAAATGATCCAGCAAAACTTGGAATTCTGAAAAGTACATGCATAATTTTCTTAAACATGATTTAGGCATGCATTCAAAAACAATAGCTAACATCTATAAAGCACTTAATTGCCACTTAAGTACAAGTAACTTGCTAAACAGTTAAAAGAGTCTCTTGTGTGATCACATTGCCTAAAGCCAAGGTTCCCTCGTTGCTGCAATTGACTAGTGAGGCAACCTAACTGGCAGAGAGGTTAGGAAAGTTGTCCAGACCTCTGCCGGTAATAAATAGAGGTGCTCATGAACTGGGTCAGTTCTTTCCTGCTTGTCCTTGCTCCACGCCCTGCCACTAATGCTGGCTTATATTATTCACTTGTATCTTCCTTCGAAGCAGAAGAGGGATGTCAAAGTAGTTCACATGAAAAAAAAATTATTTTTGAAGGAAGCTAGGAGAAATGAGCCAATTTAAACCAGATTGGATTCTATTAAAGGCGTGTTTGGGGAAGCTGCGCTAGACTTTCAAGTTCACTGGCCCCAAGGACCAAGGCCAGGGAAGTTGCCATGGGGAGAGGGGGAGCAGTTAGCAGAGGGAGACAGTAAGAAAGGGGTGCATGGGCAAACAGAGAAGAGAGAGAGACCTCAAAATGTCTGGACTGGTAAATTCAAGGCTGGGGACAGGGTATGCCAGGTCGGGACTGAGGGATTCTGGGAGAACCTGGAGGCCAGGTCTGCTTTGATATGTAAAATATGCACCTCAGTCCTTTGTCCCCAGGTCCGAAACAAAACACTAGGAACTTGTGCAAATGTTTTTATCTTCTGATAAAACGAAATCTTTTTTATTTCGTATGCATCCATAAACCTTACATATTTATTAATTTATTTTCTTACTTGCCTATACACAAATTGATTTTACTCCATATAGATAACTTTCTTTACACCTCTCTCACTCAAGGAAACAGAATAGATATGTTTTCTTTTTTTTCTTTTTTTCTTCTTTTTTGGTTTTTTTCGAGACAGGGTTTCTCTGTGTAGCCCTGGCTGTCCTGGAACTCACTCTGTAGACCAGGCTGGCCTCGAACTCTCGAACTCAGAAATCCGCCTGCCTCTGCCTCCCAAGTGCTGGGATTAAAGGTGTGCGCCACCACCGCCCGGCCTAGATATGTTTTCTTTACATGATTTTCATACAAAAGTATGAAAGTATGGAAGTATAGCCAGCCAAGTTGGTACACACCTCTAATCCCAGCACTCCAGAGGCATAGGCAAAAAGGACTGTCTTCACAGAATTAGAAATAAATAAGTTGTTTCAGTAGCATAGTGGCTGAGGGCTCTACAATGTGATCCAGTTACTAAGTGCCCATTGTATCCTAAAAGCCAACATTCTACCACTACCTCCCTTCAGGCAAGGGGGCTATGTGGTACTGGGGGGATGGGGACACTGTTGTGCCTCTAACCAGTCTTTTTCTTTTGTTTGTTTGGGGTTTTATTTGTTTGGATTTTTGTTTGTTTATTCAAGATCTCTGTACAAATCCTGACTGTCCTCGGAATTCACCTTGTAGACCAAGTAGGTAGGCCTCCAGATCATAACAGATAAGCAGGCCTCTGCTTTCAGATTGCTGGGATTAAATGCTTGGGTCAACCACGCCTCTCTGAATCCCATCTTTTTCACGGGGTCAAACTAAATAAAAATCAAAGGCTTCGGGTCAACCCCTGTAAAGCTTGTTTATTTCTTTGTGGAGCAGACTGCTTGCAGAAATCAGAGGGTAACAGCAACTCGATACCTAGAATTTATTCTTACAGCGTCGTTGTGCTCACTACCATTCTAGTCGTGCCTTGGAACCACAGTTTACCTTTCCACAATGAAACAAACAAACCTCGGAAGACTACAATTCCCAGAAAGCCTCACTACAAGCGACGTCAACGTGCCGTAGCGGTTAGTCATCCTTCCTGATACTTCCTTCCACTTCCTGGAGTCGGAACCTGAGGCTTCGCGGGGGCGCGGGCGTACGTACGGACTTACCTAGCAGACAAGGCACCGGGGCGCGCGACCCCTGACGAGGAGTGTTGTCACGTGACACAGGGGCGTGCTTTTCTTGCCTAGCGCGCTCCTGTGCGCGTCCCCAGGGGGCGGCTGTCGGGCGTACGTGCCAGCTGGGTCCTCAGACCAGGGCCCGGACTAGCCGGTGGTTGCCGGGGCCACGAGGCCAGAGAACGAGGAGGGCGGGGTCGGCTGTGGGACCGCGACGACGACACACCGTGCGAGCGCCTGGGCCTGAGGGGAGCGATGCTGTGGTTCCAGGGCGCCATCCCGGCGGCCATCGCGTCTGCTAAGAGGAGCGGCGCGGTCTTCGTGGTGTTCGTGGCAGGTGACTGGGGAGAGGGCCTGAGAAACATAGTGCCTCTGGGTTTTTCTTGATTCTCGTTAGCCTCAAGTGAGCTCGGCAGGAGGAGCTGCAGTGGGCTGGGCTCAGGCAGCCTAAGACCCTGTCGCCCAGTCCGCTCGGTCTGTTCGGGTCCCTTGGGTTTGCTTGGGGCCCACTTGTCTCCTGTCCCGACCAGTACGGTTTTATATGGCTCCGGGCTTGCTCCGCTCGGGCCCGACCCAGACGCTAAGCCTCTTCAGGCAGCGGGCGGGCCGCTTAGTGCCTCTGGGGTCTGTTTGAGACTCCGGCGTGACCTCTCTGCATCTGTGTGGGAAGCGAGTTCAGGCCCTATCCTCAATCACTGAACCCGCGAGGAGACGCGCCCCGCAGGCCTTGGTAGTCGGGTTGTCGCAGGCAGACCCCCCTCCCCCAAAGACCTCCACCCTGGTGTCCCCTTGGTCCTCTGGGATCCCCTTTTCTGGCAGCTTGGACCTTTTAAAAGATTCTTGGTTTGCAGATGTGGTTGGGACAGGCCACTAGGCAGACAGTTGGACCTAGAAAGTTGTGAGCTGTCAAGAAAGCTGTGTCATCAGTAAACCACAAAGAAACCACCTGATGTCTTAGAATGTTCCTGAAACATAAACTTGAGCTCACAGATGGGTACTCTTTTATCATAGAGCTCAGAGGGAACTCTAAGATGCAATAATTGCTTTATTACAAGTTGACTCTTTTTTTCTATCATAGTTTTAAAAGTACACATTCAGTCCTGATTCCTTCTCTTTTCTAACTTAAAATCTAGTTTTCCAGACATGTGCTAATTCATTTACCCTATGTTGCTCTAGATCAATTTGTTCCATAGTCTCCTGTTTTATTGCTGAAGTCTTAAATATTTGCAGTCAACCATCTGCTTCTATAGTTTTGTACATTCTTGATACATGGACCAGTTAGTGTGACAACTATTAATTTGAAGTGTATTTCTTCAATCACTTGTGTTTTAGTAACAGTTTACTCATAATTGACCCACATCTTTTAGGAGTTTTGTAACTTTGTCCATCTCTGTGGAGAAAAATGACTGACATATGAATTTGAGCATTACATTTTAAATGTCTGTTTTGTTATGCTAAATTTTCAGCTTGGTGCTTGCTGTTAATCAGAATAGCATAAATTATTTAGGTTATATTGGGGTTATACTTTAAATTAGTAAATTAGTCTTGTAATCCAGTAAGGACAATAGTCACATGAAAATGCAGAGAAGGCCGGTGAGATGGCTCAGTGGTTAAGAGCACTGACTGCTCTTCCGGAGGTCCTGACTTCAGTTCCCAGTAATCAATCACATGGAGGCTCACAACCATCTATAATGAGATCTGATGCCCTGCAGTGTACTTACATACAATAATAAGTAAATAAACCTAAAAAAAAAAAAAGAAAAAATGCAGAGAACAGGGTATTTTAGTATGAGGTCAGTGGTAGGTTTATGAGATTTTAGTATGGTTGTGAGCTACCACATGGGGTTGGAGATTGAACTCAGGACCTCTGAAAGAGCAGCTAGTGCTCTTAACCACTGAGCCATCTCTCTAACCGCATTTTATAAGATGTGATTTTTTAAACTGTGTTCCACATAAAATTTCAATAGTTCTAGTGGGGGAAAGTAGTTTTATTGTCCTGTTTTTGTAGTTAAGCATCTTAGGTCCAAAGTTGTAAAATAACTTGGACCAGGCTCACAAAAACTGTGTTTGCTTGGTTTTCTGAGATTTTGGGTTTTTGTTGGGGGGGGGGGGGCTGTTTTGTTTGAGACAAGATTTCATATAGCTCAGGCTGACCTTGAAATCTTGATTCTCCCAAGTGTTGTGATTACAGACTTGTGTAAACCACCACAGGTTAACATTTGCATTTTAACAGTGTTGGGGCGGGAAAGAGTTTGCTCCGTTTGACTGTATAACCTTGACTGGCTTTGAACTCAGGTATCAGTCTGCCTCTTCCTCTGTCTCCCAAGTACTGGGATCAGAGTTGTGTAAGCCCTCACTTTGTAGTGTATGCTGGCTTCAAACTCATAGCTATCTTTCTGTTTCAGCCTCCCAAGTGCTTGAATTATAGGTGTGTGCTACCATATCTCTGACATTTTTGTTTTTTATGGAAAAAAAAAACAGCTGAGCAGGAGTGGCACACACCTTTAATCCCAGTTGTATCTGTTTAAACTGAAAGATGTAAAGATAGTTGTGCCATAGTACAAAAATTTGAAGAGGAACCTGAAGCAAAGATGTTTGTCTAGTCATTAATATTTGCTGAAAATTGTTTGTGTCTGATACTGTTGACTGCCCTTTTTGGTTAACATAGACCATAAAGTTTAAGGTTTGAGCAATTGAGATTTCTTTAGGTGGTTGATATTTTGATTAAAAATAAGACACTAAAGATACTGAAGGTAGCAACTGGTAATTCTAGTGGAACTTAGTATTAAGCTTCTTACTAAGACTTGCATTCAGCTACTGTTGCCTTCAAGAGGCTGAGTGACAAACACAGTGCCAGTGGGAATGTGACATTAGGACCTTAACCTGTCCAGCATAGGTAAGAGAATGAGAGGCACCAACTTCACAAAAGCTATATAGTCTCTCTCTTAGGATTAACTCAGGCTAAGGATGTTTATTGCCCTCATTTGTTATTTTCCCCCCAGGGTTTCTAGCTAAATGTCACCATTGCGCATTCTGTCAGATAAGCTGTGGTGTAGGTAGCCCTCCTTAGCTTTTCAGTTTCATTTGTCTCATGTTCTCCATTGTTTATATTTTTCTAGCCACACAGACCTTTCCCTACACATGTATTCTTTCTTCATGGTGAACTTTTCTATATTTGGTGTGGCTCAATTCTATTTGTTTTCTACCTTAAATGTCAACTCAGAGACCGATTTAGTGGTGCATGTCTTTAATCCCAGCATTTGGGAGATCAAGGCCAGCATGGTCTATATAGTAAGTTGGTACATCCAAGGGTACATAGAGAGAGCCTATCTCAAAAGGAAAGGAAAGGAAAGGGGGAGGGAAGGAGCAAAGAAGGAAAGAGGGAAAGAAAGAAAAGATCTGTCTCAGAAAAGGCTTCTGTGACCATAATAAAGGGATTTTATTTATTTGTATGTGTTCTCACATGCTGGAAATCAAACTCAGGTTTTCTCGTAACTGTCTTCCCAAACGCAAACCCACTTATTGATAGCAATTACTTCTTTAAGTAATTGGCAATTGTCTGCTTGTTTTTTGTTTTGTTTTGCACCATTAGATTTTAATCTATGCTGAGAGCAAGTATTGATTTATATCTACTGAACCCAGTGTCTACAACAAAAGAGCTGAAATAGAGTAAAATAGTGGATGAAAGAATGAGGGACTACATAAGACTCCTCACTCTTTACTTCCTCCTTGAAGTGATTTTAAATAGCTATTTATAGAGTGTTTTTAAATAGCTATTTCTAGATGGCTAGTTGACTCATTTTCTTGGTAATTTATTATTTCTTCCTACTCCATTGTCTCTGCAGACACATTCATTCAGAATTTTCTCACTTCCAAATGGTACCTTTCCCTCATTCTCTATTGTATTTCCATGTCCAAATTTCTCCTAGGATCTCATCTCATTCAGTCATGCAGTCTAGTATTATAGGTATGCCAGTATGCTCACTATGCTAAACAGTTAAATATTCATTCCAATAAACACAGAACACATGCTATATGCCTTATTACTACAAGTTCTCTTGTAGGGATTTTAGTCTTAAAATAACAGGGAAAACTGTCTTTGTCCTCATGGAACATTTTTTTCTAATTGGGAGAGAAAGACAGTAGACAATAAAAATAATTAAGATGTATAGTGTATTAAAAGATTGGTGACCTGGGTTTTGTTGTCCAAGGTTCTTATAACAAAGTTAATTAAAAAGAAAAAAAATAACTTTTTTTAAGTGTTAAGTGGTGCTGGAGAGGTGGTTTAGTGATTAAGAGCACTTGCTGCTTTAACAGGGGCCCCAAGTTCTGTTCCCAAATTGGCTACATGACAGCCAATTGCTATGTAAGAGTAGACATTCTAGTGAGACTGGACAAGCTAAGAGAACTTGCTCCTCTTTGACCAGGACCCAGATTCAGTTCCTAGCACCACAAGGCAGCTTATAACTGTCCTTAACCCCAGTTCCAGGGAACTAATGTCCTCTTTGGGTACCAGGCATACATGTGATGCCTATATATGCAGACAAACACACATGAAATAAAAGTAAGTAAATCTTAAAAGAAAAAAATAGACCCAGCAGGGAAGACCCATTTAGGCTACTATAAGTATCTGGATGGCCTCTGCCAGCTTTGTTCAAGGTAGTAGTAGTAGTAGTGGAAGCTATAGGTAGTTATTATTTGTGTCTGTTTTGATATAGCCAACTGAAATTATAAAGTTTTTGGGGCTTGTTTATGTGTTTGCTATGCTGGGGATCAAACCAAGGGCTTTGTGAATTCTAGACAAGCACTCTACCATGGGACTACATCCATGACTTCAGAAGATCAATTTTCAGATTTGGTTAGTTAGAGTACTTGCTAAGCTGGATGTAGTAGTGCATACCTTTAACCCCAGCACTTTGTGTCTGAGTTCAAGGCTAGCCTACTCTACATAGCAAGCTCCAGGTCTATATAGAGACCCTGACTCAATACAAAAGGAAGGAAGGAAGGAAGGAAGGAAGGAAGGAAGGAAGGAAGGAAGGAAGGAAGGAAGGAAGGAAGGAAGGAAGGGAAGGAAAGAAGAAAGAAACATATGCGGTTCTCGCAGAGGACCAATTTGGTTTCCAGCACCCACATGAGAGCTCACAACTGTAACTTCCAAAGGATTTTCCAGGGATTCCAAAGCCATTTTCTGGCCTCGGGCACTGTACACATGTGATGCTCTTCAATACATGGAAGGCAAAACACTCATACACAAAAAATAGAAAATTTGAAAGAAAAAATATTTGTGGGTTATATTTTATTTGGAGTTCTAGTTTCAAAAGGGAAAGAATTTAGTGTTCTGAAGTCCTTGAAATGTTTTCACAGGAGATGATGAGCAATCTACACAGATGGCAGCAAGTTGGGAAGATGAGAAAGTGACAGAAGCATCATCAAACAACTTTGTTGCTATTAAAATTGATACTAAGAGGTATGCTTACATGCTACTGCTTCATTACTTCTTATTTTGTAATGATTTTTTGTTGTTAGTGATGATGATATCTTAGAGACTATTAAGAAAGTTAGTTGGGGGGCTGGAGAGATGGCTCAGTGGTTAAGAGCACTGACTGCTCTTCCAGAGGTCCTGAGTTCAATTCCCAGCAACCACATGGTGGCTCACAACCATCTGTAATGGGATCTGATGCCCTCTTCTGGTGTGTCTGAAGACAGCAACAGTGTACTCATATAAATAAAATAAATAAATCTTTAAGAAAGTTAGTTGGATGTTGATAAATATAGATAACTAAGGTACTAAGATATACTAGAAACAAATTATTTTTGAATTTTTTGAGTGCACCACCATACCTGTAGTTTTGGGAATTTAAATTATTTTGTTATGATTACTATTAAAACTTTATTATAAAGAACTTGTTATCCAATTTTAAAAAAAAGAAAAAATAACTTGTAATTCAAAATTAATATTTTCAAGAGAACTTAATTTCTTATTGCTGTTTTCAAATTCTTCATTACACCTTGCTAAAAAAAAATTTTTTAACTTTATCTTTTCTACCAAACATCCATGTAGCATGTAACAAGAATTATGATTTGGAGCTAACAAAATGTCAGCCAAGCCTGACAACCTGAGATTAATCTCCATATCACACATTGTGAAAGGAGAGAACCAATTTACACAAGTTGTCTTCTGATCTGAATACCATGCCTACCCACATACACAACAAATATATAAAATACATTAAAAAAATAAATAAATAAAGCTGGGCAGTTGCAGTTTGTGCCTTTAGTTCTGGCACTTTGGAAAAAAAGGATTAAATTGTTCAGGCTAGAGAGGTGACTCAGTTGTTAAGCACACTGGTACTCTTCCAAGAGGATCTTGGTTCAGTTCTCAACACCCATATGGAGGCTCAAAACAACCTGTAACTCCAGTTCCAGGGACTCTGATGCCCTCTTATGGCTTCTGTGGGCAGCAGGCACACATATACTATGCATACATACACACAAAGTACCCATATACGTTAAATACATGAATCTTCAGAAATTTACTTGTAAGCTTACAAAATACTCAATTACATTGTTTCATATTAACAGAATAGCAAACCTTTTTTTATAGTTACTGAACTGTCTAGCTTATGTTTTATCTGTGTGTGTATGTGTGTGTGTGTGTATATGTGTGTGTGTGAGTGTGTGCGTATACACACCTGAATCTGTATGTATGTACCACATGCATACAGTGTCTGTGGAGGTCAGAAGTGGGGCTCAGTTCCTCTCAAAGTAGAGTTACAAGTGGTTGTGAGCCACCCGATGTGAGTATTGGCATCTAACTAGAATCTTCTGGAAGAGCTGTAAGCTTTCTTAACTGCTGAGCCACTCTCTCCACTTGCTGTTTTGGGTTTTTTTAGAGGTACCTGGGAATTACTGAATCACTCACTTTGTTCGGGATCTAATTAATATTACTATAAAAAAAATCTCTCTTCTCCCTAACTCTGTGTGTATGTGGGCACAAGCACTGGCACACACAGGTGATTGAATTGAGGAATGATGTGTGCTAGGCATGTTCATCACTGTTACTGTCCTCGCTCCCATCCCTGACCATCAAGCTCTTTACTGGAGTTAAGTAAGTGATTAAAAATAGTTTTCAATTTTAAGAATTTTTATTATTATTGTAAGGAGGAGGGACACACAGTATAGCACACATGTGGACAACTTGCTGGAGTTGTTTCTCTCCTGCTACTTTTGTGTAGGGTCTGGAGATTGAACTCAGGTTGTCAGGCTTGCACTGCAGTCGCCTTACCCAATGAACCATGCCGTGTGGCCCTTCTAAATTTTTTTGTAGAAATGATGCTATTTTTTAAGATTTATTTTATGTGTAATATATGAATATTTGCATGTATATTTGTGCACTAAGTGCATGCAGTGCCCAAGGCAGCTATAATAGGGTATTGTATCTCTTGGAACTGGAGTTACAGATGGTTGTGAGCCACTATGTGAATGCTAGAAGTCAAACCTGGTCCTCTGGAAGATCAGTCTGTGCTCTTAACCACTAAGCCATCTCTCCAGCCACCAAGATTTTTTTTATGTATGTATATTAGTTCTTAAAGAAGCAGCATGAGATACCTCTGTTTTGTTTTGTTTTGTTTCTTAGTGAGGTCTTACTATGTAGCTCTGGCTATCCTGGAACTTACTATATAGACCAGACTGACCTTGAACTCATAAAAATCTACCTTCAGAGCACTGGGATTCTAGCAAATCTAGCCACCACTTTTTGGGTTATAAGAACAAACCATTTTTTAATCTGAAAATTATCAACAATTAAAAAGAACAAAAAAGTCTTGTGAAATAAAATTCTCATTTCTCCTGCTTATTGCTCTGACAACTTGTAACTTTTAAAAAGTACTTAAATTTAATGAAAGCAACTCAGTATTTGGAAAATAGTTGAAATCGTGTAATGAATTTTCTCTTGATATCTTTTTTTTTTTTTAACAGTGAAGCCTGTCTGCAGTTTTCACAAATTTGTATCCTTTCATTGAAGAATTGGTTTCATGAATATTTGCTTTTCCTTTTTTTAATTAAAAAATTTAGGAATTAAGCTGGGCAGTGACAGTGCACACCTTTAATACTGGCAGTTGGGAGGCAGGGGGATCTCTGGGTTAGAGCTAAGCCTGGTCTATATATAGAGCAAGTTCCAGGACAGCCAGGGCTACACAGAGAAACCCTCTCAAAAAAACAGGAAAAAAATTTTAGGAATTAGTTTTACTTAAGACCACTTATCTTTGGTTTGTAGAAGCAATGTTGCAGATTGTCTTTTGAGGTGATGCATTGTAGCTAGTAGCAAAGTACATTTTTTAAATGTGAATATCTGAAGAACAGTATGGTATAGTTTGCTTCAAGTGTTAGAAGAAGGTGACAAGAGGCAAATGGATATAAAGTAAAGCTATGATGTAGGAGGATGAGATATATTCTTCACTGTGATACCCTGTTCAGACCATAAATCATTTTACATATCATATGCACTAGAGGAATGATATGGTCATTGAAGTGGGAAACTTGCTAGCTAGTAATATTATAAAATCCACTAAGATGATATGTTTTACTTTGTTTACTGTATTTTATAAAACTTGTTTCAAGCATGAATTATTAGACTTCATTGACTTGTACAGATCCTGTAGTATGCGTTCCATCCAGTTTCTTTATAGGAGACAGTGGCATTCCTTTGGAAGTAATAGCAGGGAGTGTTTCTGCAGATGAACTTGTTACAAGGATTCACAAAGTCCAACAGGTAAGAAGGAACCAGAACTTACTTTATTTTAAGATTTTATTTTTCATCCCTATTGAAGGATTTTTTTTTTTTTTTTTTTTTGGTTTGGTTTGGTTTGGTTTTTGTTTTTTGAGACAGAGTTTCTCTGTGTAGTCCTGGCTGTCCTGGAGCTCACTCTGTATACCAGGCTGGCCTTGAACTCAGAAATCCTCCTGCCTCTGCCTCCCAAGTGCTGGGATTAAAGACAGGCGCCACCACTGCCCGGCTGAAGGATTTTTTTTTTAATTCCTACTTTAATTTCAATTAATTATAATTTATTTAGTTTTGGTTTTTTGAAACAGGTTTTCTCTGTGTAGCCTTGGCTTTCCTGGAACTCACTCTGTAGACCAGGCTGGCCTCAAATTCAGAGTTCTGCTTACCTTTGCCTTCTGGATGCTGAGATTAAAGGTGTGCATCACCATGTCTGGCAGTTCTCAGTTTAAAAAAAAAATTACTGTACTTTGTGTGTATGTGCATATGACTGAGTGTATGTATGCGCTCCACATGCGTTCAGGTGCTCAAGGTGGTCACCTCTTGGCATTGGATCCCTTGGAACTAAGATATGACTATCTGTTATGAGTGACCCAAATCCTGTACAAGAGCAGCAAGTGCTACTAACCTCTGACCCCAGAGATTTTCAAGTCTTTTTTTAAAAAAATAAATCTTTAATTATTTTCTGTATTTCATTGATCTCTATAGTAAACTGTCCTATTTAATTTGATTTTATTAATGTGGATCTTCTGTCTTTTTCCATTGGGTTAGTTGGTTAGGGGGTTGTCATCTTATAATTTTGCCTTTGTTATTTCTTGCTGTCTACTGCCTCAAGATTTGGATTGTTCATGTTTTCTGGGACTTTAGGGTACAAGGCTATTTTTTTTAATTTAATTATTTATTTGAGTGTAGAACGTGCTGGGAGCCTGCCCAGCCTGGAATAGGCTGAAGTGGGATATAGCGTTGGACACAAAATAGATGATCTATCTTTATTTCTTTTCTCTGGCCTTTTTTATGAATAAAAGTTCTTAGAAAATTACCTCATAGATAAAATGTTACAAAATAGGAATTACAAAAGGATGTTGATATTAAGTTCAAAGCAGTGTTTTATTCTATATGCTCATTATAAGTTCAAAGGAACAGTTTTTACAGATGGCCTTGCGTTATCTTAGTATACACCTGAATGCTTTTCCTTGAACACAAATTTATCCCAAACTTATTTCCCTTTTTAGTGTAATTGTGAAAGTTCATTGTGTTCCTTATTATGCAGCCTTTACTTACTATATGAGGAGTGGACACATTCTGTTCTTGATTCTAAATTTATTACATCTTTCTAGCAAAGCAACTAAAACCATCTCTTAAAACTTTCTTCCTAAGATTATTTTAATCAAATCAGAAATTCTATAAAATCATTAATTCATCTAAACAGCATTAATTCATGAAAGTTCATCTTTATGTTGATCTGCAGGAAATCTGCTCAGTAGGATGGTATAATGCTCAGAGATTATTATATTAATTTAATAATGACAGGAAAGACATATCAGCTGCTAGAAGCAATCCTGAGTTGAAGTCTCTTTGAGACCTTGCCTCATAGAACTCACGCCTCACAGACCATGCAGAAATGGTGGGCCACCTTCTTGAAGGCCACCTGCTAGCCTTCTTAGCCTTTCCTAATGGCTCCATTGGTATAGATATAAGATCCACCTTTGTGTTTTCAAGGCTTTTGAGTATTAATCACCCTTTAGAGTGGTGCCTATGTGAATGCCAAGTACACTTCTGGAACTCTAATTCTCAGACTACAGCAGTGAAGGAAAGAAGAGTGACTCTAGAATTTGATTCACCCACTGGCTTTAAGTTCAGAGCTGTGGAGCCCCAAGTTAATTTTCATTTGATAAACTCTGGTTTTGTCACTGAGGACAGAGATATCTCTTAACGTATTTCCTAGCCCAAGCCAACCAATTTCCTACCACCTGCACTCTTCAGTCCATAGGGTTCTTCCCTCCTGCTCTCCACAGCTATCTGTTTGGACTTTTACTCAGGGGCTGTGGCAGACCAAATTGATGCTTCCTGACCTGTGTATGTACTCTGATCTTGGGCCCCTGGGGTAGCTCAAAGATAACACAGAACTGCCCTCTGAATACCATAGTTTGACAAAGTAGTATTATACCAACTAGTGACCCATCTTATCAGGCACCTGCTAGGATTTGAGACCACTGAAGGAAGTGAGCTTGTCCTGAGGGTGCCACTGCCTGTCTTTCATCTGCCTTGCCTTTCAGAAGTGTCTTGAGCCCCCTCCCCTAGCCAGAAAAGTCATTCTGCTTTAAAACTTCTTATGGATTGGAGATACAGTTCAACACCCTGTACTAAAAAGGGGGGGGGGGGAACTAGGCTCTTCCCAGCTTCTGGTTAAGTCCCATAATGTAATTTGTCTTTCTTGTTTTTGTTTTGTTTTGTATATCACTGGCTGTCCTAGAACTTACTATGTAGACCAGGCTGGCCTTGAACCTACAGAGATCTATTTGCCTCTGCTTGGGATTAAAGGCTTGTGCCACTGTGTTTAGCCCATAATACAGATTTTATTATATCTAGAACTCTACATTTTCAATTTGTCCTACAGAAGATTTAGTACTTCTACTCTTGTAAGGGGTGTGTGTGTGTGTGTGTGTGTGTGTGTGTGTGTGTGTGTGAGAGAGAGAGAGAGAGAGAGAGAGAGAGAGAGAATCCTGAATTCTTAAATCATCTACCATAAAATGGCTATACAGTCTCACATTAATTAAGTTCTGATTTGTTTTCTCCCAAGATGCACTCATCAAAAGGTGAAACATCAGTGACAACAAATGACAACCAGTCAGAAAGTTCAGTATCTACCCCATCTGCCTCATTTGAACCTGACATATGTGAAAATGCTGAGTCCAGAAATACAGAGCTTTGTGAGACACCAGCTACTTCTGACACAAAGTCAGATACTGCAACAGGTAGAGTAAAAGTATCCCTTTAGTTCACACTTGAAGGCATGGATTAGTCTTACTGTAGAATCCCAGACAGATAACATCAAGCCTTTTCAAATGGCCTGATAAACCTAACCCAGGGCTAGGGCTTAGCTAGTAGAATGTTTGTCATTCCATCAGGCCCAGTGATGCATTTCTATCATCCTAATACTCAAGAGGCAAGGTTTAATAGATGAGTTATACCTTTTACAAGTTGCATTAAATGCAGCTTTCTTTATGTTTGGGGGGTGGTGGTGTTTGATTTGGTTGGTTTTTGTTATCTTGGTTGTTGTTGTTTTCGAGATTCTCTGTGTACTCTGGATTGTTCTGGAATTCAGTCCGTAGACCATGCTGGCCTCCATCTCAGAGCTACCTACCTCTAATGCAATATTCTTATTTCATCTTAATTAAGGTGGAGAAAATGCAAGTCATGACAGCCTCTCTCAGGAGCCTCATAGATGTTCAAACCAGAGACCAGCAGAGGACCTCACCGTCAGAGTGGAAAGGTTGACTTTTATTTTTGTAGACAGCATTTTGTTTAATAAATTACAGTTTCTAGTCATTTTGTTAACGTGAATGAAACCAAAACATAACTCAAATGAAGAGTCAGAGTTACAGGTTTAAAATTCTGATTGCCTCAATAACTCAACTATTCTATGAAAACTAAAACTAGGGTATAGCTTTTCTGTATCTTTGAAGTTGTCAGTTAGCTATAGATCTGAGCATTTTGTTCAAGAATACGTTTGATACACACATGTGTGTATCCATCTATCGTTTTTTGCTTTTATTTCTTTATGCCAGAATAATAATAAGCTCCAGGTGAACAAAATCTTCGCTTGTACTATACATATGTACTGAGCTGGGGTCCTCCATAACTATCTATCTACTAAATGTCATTTTTCACTTGTTGGACTAATCAGTTAAACATCTCTGAACCATTGTAGTTTCCAGTTTAGGCTTACAAAATGTAGTAATTATGAAATTCATCTGTTATGCTGCAATTAAAAAATAGTAGTTAATGACTAATAATATTTGTAATCCCAACCTAAAGCCATTTAATATTACATGGAAGTTAAAAATACTTCTTCGAGGAGACGAGGGTCTGGGTCGTGCTAGAATACTTAGCAGACACGGGGTCCTGGGTCAGATATTTAGCTCTGCAAAAACAGTAATAATGACAGTAATGAATAAAATAAAATTCCTTACAGAGGAATTGGTATCTTTTTGTCCACTTGCAACTAGAAATACAGACAGTTGTGTCAAAAAGTGGTTATGGAGCCGGCTGATGATGACGCATACCTTTAATCCCAGCATTTGAGAGGCAGAGGCAGGTGAATCTCTAAGGTTAGCCAGGAATACACAGAAAAACTCTGCCTTAAAAAAAAAAAAAAAACCAAACAACCCCTTTAAAAAGAAGTGGGCTACGGAAATAGAAGTTTGGTCTGGTGCAAGAATAATATAAGCTTTTAACTGCTGAGCCAGCTCTCTAGCTTACATCTGTTTATTTTTGTCAAGCACTATCAATCAGATAAGTCATCACAAAGTGAGAACTTTCTATATAAATGTAAGGCAGTTAGTGTTAGAAGCAGGTAGGTTTATGATGGACTCCTGTTCATTCATGGATTTATACAAGGAACAGGAATGAACAAATAAGCCTGCTGTGCTTTCAGAGGATTATATTTGGTTTCTATAGTTTCCTTTGTATTAGCTAAATAATACTTTTTTTGTGACAGTCTGACTGTGTATCCCCTAGCTAGTCTGTTTACTAAATGCTAATTTTAAAGGTGTGCACCAACACTCCTGCCCCCGACCCATTAAATTCTTAATTGTGCTTTGAAATAGAATATATCTTGGTGTTTTGCTTTTGTTTTGTTTTGTTTTGTTTTTTTGATGCTGAATTTTTCATTAAATGTATTCTTTTAAAAATCTGTATATTCAGTTATATACAATAATCTCATTATTTAAAATACTAAATTTCTCCCAAGAACTCCAAATACATTACAGATGTTACAAGAATTCTCACAGCAAATCCCTTGGATTTTGTTTTCTTTTTTAAGCAGACTAACAAAAAAACTTGAAGAAAGGAGAGAAGAGAAGAGGAAGGAAGAAGCACAGGTAGAACTCATACTTAGCAGGGTTTCATTCTCTGTTACTTGAGGCTGTATTTGATTTGTTGTCCAAATTAGCAGACCTAGGGCCATGTCCTTAGAGCTCAGTGTTGTATTGTGGTGAAGAAAATGATCAATTCTGTGTGCTCAGGTTATACTGTTTACATTTTAGGATTTTGGCTGTTGCTTGTGTTTGAGACAGTGTATGGCCGTGCAGTCCATGCTGGCCTGGAAGTCTTAGGACTGCAATGGGGTACCATGCCCAGTTGTTTATTTTCTTTTTTTATAAATTACTGGGGATAATTGAATGATCTTTTTCTTTCCTCTGTGCAGCGAGTCTTTCATGCTAAATATCTAAAGGAAGTTGATCTAAAATTGCTAGATTTGAGAAAAGTCAAATTTGCATACATACTCCTGAATTTTTTAATGTAACTTTGAATTCTAGTGTACTCACCATCTTTTGCACAGTAATTGTGCCCCATCTCCTTAGGGTCTCATAAATTATCTTTTTCTTTTTCAAGCCACATAATTGATTGCCATTTGTCTTCAGGTGTAACACACTTGCCCCTGGTAGTACGTGTAATTCTACTTGGTTACAGATTACACCTGTACTCTTAACAGAACCACTGACAAAAATTTATAAGTTGATAGATACTTGACCAGTAATCATACTGTCAGTAAAATAATTTTTTAATTATTTTATTTGTATGGGTGTTTTGCCTGCATGCATATCTGTGTACTACTTGCATACCTGGTACCTGTGGAGGCCAGAAGAGGACATTAGGTCTTCTAGATCTGAAGTTACAAACAGCTGTGAGCTGTCATGTAAGTGCTGGGAATCAAACCTAAGTTTCCTAAGTTACCAGCACTAGTAAGAACAGCCAGTGTGCTTAATAACTGAGTCATCTCTTCAACTCCTTTTTGGTGTGTGTGTGTGTGTGTGTGTTTGAGATCAGTGGACCACTTGGAGTACTCTGTTTTCTCTTTCCATTCTGTAAGTCCATGGTGTAAACTTTGGTGGTAAGCATCTGTACTCACTAAGCCATCTCACCAACAAACATTTTATGAAGTTCTGTTCTTTCTCCTCCCCACTCCTCCCACCCCAAGACAGGGTTTCTCTGTGTAGCCCTGGCTGTCCTGGAACTCACTCTGTAGACCAGGCTGGCCTCGAACTCAGAAATCTGCCTGCCTCTGCCTCCCAAGTGCTGAGATTAAAGGCGTGTGCCATCACTGCCCGGCCTAAGTTCTGGGTTTTTTGTTTTGTTTTGTTTTTTAATGATTTATTTATTTATGTCTATGTGTATTTTGTCTGCATGTACATTTGCACACCAGAAGAAGGTACTGAATCCCATGGGACTATAGTTGTAGTTGCTGTGTTGGTGCCGGGAATTGAACTCTGGTCCTCTGGAAAAACAGTACTGTAAACCACTGAGCTGTCTCTCTAGCCTCCTAGTTCTATTCTTTTAACTGCAGTCTATAATCAGCCTTTATTACATCAAAGTATTATCTGGGACAGAAGATTAGATTATGGTTTTGGTTTATAAAACTTTTCCTTTTATTTATAAATCTTATTTTTTTATTCAGAGAGAGATTAAGAAGGAAATTGAAAGGAGAAAAACTGGCAAGGAAATGTTGGATTATAAAAGAAAACAAGAAGAAGAATTAACAAAAAGAATGTTAGAAGAAAGAAGCAGAGAAAAGGCAGAAGATAGAGCAGCTCGAGAGCGCATCAAGCAGCAGATTGCACTGGTGAGCTTTGCTGTGTCCTCCATGCATGCATGCACTTCGCTGAGCTTGAGATTCGCTTAGCTGAACCTGCTAAATGCTGGCATTGTATAAGTGATGTGTAAGTTTAAATGCTTGACTGCAGGACATCTGTGATACTGTTTCTTCACACAGAATTCCTTTTCATTCATTACCAAATGGCACACATAATAGCACATTTTAATAGCAAAAAGAATATCAATCTGAACTTCCTTTTTAAAAGAAATTATATTGAATTTAAATAGTTAAGAAAAATTAACATTAATCATTTTAACTTTTTTTTTCTTTTTTCTCTCACATGGCTAGCCTTCAAAAAAAAAAAAAAAGTTTTTTAAAGTACTTTCTTGCCAGGCAGTGGTGGCACTCAGAAGGCAGAGTCAGATTTCTGAGGGCCAGTCTGGTCTATAGAGTGAGTTCCAAGACAGCCAGGACAACACAGAGTAACTCAAAAAGCAAAACAAAAAATATTTTTCCTTACTATTTATTTATTTCACATGTGTTAGCATTTTGCTTGCATGAATGTAGGTTGTGTGTGCCTGTTGCCCTCAGAGGCCAGAAGAGGACATTGGATCCTCTGGGACTAGAGTTTATGGATGGTTATAAGTCACCATGTCAGTGCTAGAAATTGAACCAAGATCCTACTCAAGAGTGACAGGTGCTCTAAGTCACTGAGCCCTCTCTCTACCACTGCCCCCCTCAAAAGACTTTTGTGTATGTGTGTGTAATGAAACTTTGGAGGTCAGAGGACAACTTTGTGGAGTCAGCTTTCTCCTCTACCTTTGTATGGATTTTGAGTTCACACTAAGGTCACCAGGCTCACACAGCAAGTGCTTTTACCCTTGAATCCATCTCACTAGCCTAAGAACTAGGGTGTTTTGTTTGAGATTTTATTTCTGTGTGTGTACATGTGTAATTATATGTAGGTGTGTGTGTTCAATTATATTTGTATGTGTGAGCCAAGAGGTATCAAATCCTCTGGAAATGAAGTTATAGATAGCTATCAGCTTCCTGATAAGTGTGTTAGGAACTGAACTCAGGTTCTTTGGAAGAGCAGCACTTGCTCTTTTTTTTTTTTTTTAATTTATTTATTTATTTATTTATTTATTTATTTTTTATTTATGAGTACACTGTAGCTGTCTTCAGACACACCAGAAGAGGGCATCCAAGCTCATTACGGATGGTTGTGAGCCACCATGTGGTTGCTGGGATTTGAACTCAGGACCTTTGGAAGAACAGTCAGTGCTCTTAACCGCTGAGCCATCTCTCCAGCCCCGCAGCACTTGCTCTTAACCACCACTGAGCCATCTCTTTTAAAGTTATTTTCTTCCTGTTACTTTTTTTTTTTTTTTTTTGAGATAAGAGTCTAGCAGTATAGCCCTGGCTGCCATGGAACTCAATATGTAGACCATGCTTGCCTCAAAATCAGAGTATTGGGGTTAAAGGCAAGTCAATTTTCTAAGCTGGGGGTTGGAGGTGTCATATTCCTTTAATCCCAGCATAATGGGCAGATCTTTCTGAGTCGAAGGCTAGGCTGGCTGGTCTATACAGTGAGTTCCAGGATCACTACACAGAGAAACCCTGTCTCCAAAAACAAAATAAAACAAAAGAATTTTCTAAGAAAGTGCAGCATTAAAAAAATCTATAGTTGGGCATGGTGGTGAGTGCTTTTAATCTGAGCATTTAGGAGGCATGTGGATAGAGCTCTGTGAGTTCAAATCCAGCTTAGTCCACAAAGGGAATCATTGGCCAGTCAGGCCTCAGAGTGAAAATGTTCCCCAGTTTATTTTCCTGGAAACAAACTAAAAATGTGTTACTCTGCAATCTCCATAAAAGCATTACTTTTGAGATAGAGACTTACAAAAGCTGTAGGCACAGCTCAAGGCGTAGGGTGTTTACAGCTAGTTACTTGTTTTTTTTAATTCTGTTTTATGTATATAAATGTTTAGCCTAGGTGTATGTATATATACACTACATGCATGCATTGCTTGCAGAGGCCAGAAGAGGGTGTTGGGTCCCTTGGGACTAGAGTTACATGTTTGTCAGTAGTTTGTTAGTTGCATGTGGATGCTGGGAACCAACGTCTTCTGGAAGAACAGTCAGTGGTTAAAAGCACTTACAGAGTTGTTAAAAAGCTCTTACAGAGATCCTGAGTTCAGTTCCAACAACTATCTGTAATAGTATCCAACACACCAAAAGCGTGTCTGAGGATAGCGACAGTGTACTCATATACATAAAATAAATAAAAAGATCCTTAAAAAAATAAATTAAGCTATTGTATACATATGAAAAGTACTCCTGCCTGAATATTGTTTGACAAACACTCATTAAACATCAGGTTTGCGCCAGATTTTGTTCTCCAGCTATGGAGCCAATTCATCTTTTTTATGTAATAGTAACTCAAATTCTTTACAGTTGCTTAAATGAAGAAAACAAAGAACTCAGATCCTAAATGTGTAATGTTTGCTTGTGAACTTAAAGAATTTTGTGTATTTATATATATTTCTTGTGTTTAGATGTGTGTAGATTATGACAGTGAGAAGTAATGTGTCTAATGGTGTTTTACTTCAAAGGATCGTGCAGAAAGAGCTGCTCGTTTTGCAAAGACAAAGGAAGCAGAGGCTGCTAAAGCTGCTGCCTTGCTGGCCAAACAGGCAGAAGCGGAAGTCAAGAGGGAGTCTTCTACACGAGACAGAAGGTACTTCTTTCTTTATAAACTTCACTCTGAAATGGCTGTGCATCTGGGGCTGGTTAGTATTTATTTCTTTTTTTGTTTGTTTTTTGGTTTTTCAAGACAGGGTTTCTCTGTGTAGCCCTGGCTGTCCTGGAACTCACTCTGTAGACCAGGCTGGCCTCGAACTCAGAAATCCGCCTGCCTCTGCCTCCCAAGTGCTGGGATTAAAGGTGTGCACCACCACCGCCCAGCTAGTATTTATTTCTATTATTTATTTTGAGGTAGAATCTACCTATGTTGCCTTAGCTAACCTGTATAGACCAAGCTGGCCTTCAACTCACAGAGATCACCTGCCTCAGCCTCCAAACTGCTGGGTTTAGAGACTTGGACCACCAAGCCCAGCTCCTGGTTAATATTTCGGTATTTTTTAATATTGGACAATTGCTAACTTTCATAATCAAATACTATGTCTGGGTATGTCAGATGTCTACCTTAGTACTAACATTTGGTAGGCTGGCAGATCTCTGAGTCTGAGGCTAACTTGACCTACACAGTGAGTTCCAGGGCTATGTCTCAAAGAACTTTTTTAAAATTTTGATTCTCAAAAGGGCTAAAGAAATGGCTCAGAAGTTGGGAGTACTTGCTGCTCTTGCAGTGGATATGAGTTCAGTTCTTCTCACCCACATCAGGTAGCTTAAAACCACCCATAACTTTTTGCTCCAGAGGATCTTAAACCAACTTCTGGCTTCCAGGGGCACCTATACTTACCTGTAGGCATGCATTCACACAGACAGACACACACACCATACCTAAATAAGAATAGAATAAATCTGAAAAAATGATTAAAATTTCTTAGAAAATGCAACAAATGTTTGCAACAAAGATTTAATAAAAGTATGTCTGACACAGTAAACAATAAAATGATACTGAAGGAATTAATGGAAAAATGCTCTGTTCATTCCTCAGAAGTCATATATTAAGATCGTCATATTGGGAGCTGGAGAAATGGCTTATCAGTTATGAAAGCTCACTATGCAATCATAAGGACTAGAATTTAGATCCCAGCACCCTTGTAGCACTCCCAGCCAGGAGTCCACCAAATGTCTATAACCCAGCTCCAAGAACAAGAGACTAATCTGCTAATGCTTGCTGACTTGTAGCCTAGCTGAGACAATAGCAACCCCAGGTTCAAAGGAATAGGTGGAGAGTGACAGAGAAGGAAATCCATTGCCTTCTTCTGACCTCTGCATAGGTACGTGCACAAACATGTTTGCATATCCTCTCCACAGATACAAAAGGTTGTTTTGTTTTTGTTTTTAAATCTACAAAGGAACTTCCATGGAGTCCAGAAAGATGATGTTGGTTAGATGTCTTGATGCTACAGTTACGGGAACTCACAACCCTGGCAGCTGGGAACCAAACTCATGTCCTCTGCAAGTGCAATGGGTTCTCTTAACTGCTGAGTCATCTCTCCATTCCTGATTTTTACAGAATTTTTAATCCTGAACCTCATAAGGAATTGGAGAAACTACTAGAAAGTATATATTTGATAAGGAATTTATTATAAGAATCATTTATATAGCTCAACAATGAAAAGATAACCCACCTCTTATATGGGGAAGGGATTGGAATCGTTATTTCTCTAAAGATCTAATTCTCTAAAGAAAATGGCCAATAAACAAATCAGATGTTAGGAATGTGCCTATAAGTCTAACCCTTGGGAATCTTAATCAAGAAAACAGCAAAGTCTGGGGGCTGCTTGGGTTATATATCAAGTTCCAGACCAGCCTGCACTACACAGTAAAACTATCTCACAAAACCAAACAATGCATTTCACACTCCCCAGCATAATTTAGTTTTAAAACAGTAACAGTCTGGGTATTATGGCACATGCCTTTAATTCTAGCATTCTGAGGTAGAGGCAAACAACTGATCTCTGAATTCAAGGCCAGGACAGTAAGTTCTGGACATAGTCTACACAATGAGACTGTCTCAATAAAATACAAAAAAAAAAAAAGATAGTAACAAATGTTGGCAAGGAAGTGGAAAATTTGGAGTCTTTCTACATTATCAGTAAGCTGTAAAATGATGTAGCCATTTAGAAAACCACTTGGCAATTCCTCAGAATACTAAACATGGAGTTACCAGAGGTGGCCCAGCACTCACTCTTAGATATATATATATTCAAGAGGTTTGTCTTAGCTAGGACTACTACTGTGGTGATAAAACACCATTATCAAAGCAACTTAGGGAGAAAAGAATTTATTTGGCTCATACTTCTTCCTCACATTTCATCATCAAAGGAAATTAGAACAGGAACTCAAACAGGGCAGAAACACATGGAAGCAAGAGCTGATGCAGAGGCTGAGGAGTGCTGCTTACTGGCTTGCTCTTCTGCCTTGCTCAGCCTGCTTTCTTATAGTATCCAGGACCACCAGTCCAGGAGTGACACCACCTACAATTGGTTGGGCTCTTCTTCATTGGTCACTAAAAATAATACCCTACAGCCAGATCTTCAGGAAGCATTTTCCCAGTTGAGGCTCCCTCCTTTCTGATAACTCTCACTTGTGTCAAGTTGACATGAAACTTGCTAGTACAAGGGTTGAAAATATGTCCACACAAAAACCAGCGCATGAGCTAGCTAGGTGCTGATGACTCAGGCCTTTAATCCCAGCACTCAGGGGGCAGAGGCAAGAGGATTTCTGAGTTTGAGGCCAGCCTGGTCTACAGATTGAGCCAAGGCTACATAGAGAAACCCTGTCTGGAAAACCATAAATAAATAAATAAATAAATAAATAAATAAATAAATAAATAAATAAATAA